GGTCAAGGACAGGCCGGTCAAGGACAGACTGGTCAAGGTCAGACTGGTCAAGGTCAGATTGGTCAAGGACAGACTGGTCAAGATCAGACTGGTCAAGGACAGACCGGTCAAGGACAGGCCGGTCAAGGACAGACTGGTCAAGGTCAGACTGGTCAAGGTCAGATTGGTCAAGGACAGACTGGTCAAGGTCAGACTGGTCAAGGACAGACCGGTCAAGGACAGGCCGGTCAAGGACAGACTGGTCAAGGTCAGACTGGTCAAGGACACACTGGTCAAGGACAGACCGGTCAAGGACACACTGGTCAAGGTCAGATTGATCAAGGTCAGACTGGTCAAGGACAGACTGGTCAAGGTCAAACTAGTCAAGGTCAGACCGGTCAAGGACAGATTGATCAAGGTCAGACTGGTCAAGGTCAGACCGGTCAAGGTCAGATTGATCAAGGTCAGACTGGTCAAGGTCAGGCCGGTCAAGATCCAACTGGTCAAGGTCCTACTGGTCAACACCGAACTGGTCAAGGTCCGACTGGTCAAGGACAGACTGGTCAAGGTCCGAATGGTCAAGGTCCAACTGGTCAACACCGAACTGGTCAAGGTCAAACTGGTCAAGGATAGACAGATCATGGTTAAACTGGTCAAGCTCCAACTGGTCAAGATCAAAGTGGTCAAGGACAGACTGGTCAAGGTCGTACTGGTCAAAGTCCAGACTGGTCAAGTTCTCTGTGCAGCCACCCTCACATCACTCAGTGGTCATGACAATCCCGGCTGCAACTGAGGTGCCATCCAAACGATGGCTCACACTGGCGAAGTGCGCCTGCTAATTAAAGACCCCCCCAACCCAACAGGGTGGGCTTGAGCCACTGACAAGACCTCCCCCCCTCCGCCTGTGTGGTAACTCACAGTGAAGGGCTGGGCTGTGCCCTTGCTGATGGCCCGGGTTAATGTGCTGGTCATGTCGCTTCCTCTCTTGATATGGGACCCCACCCCCAGCACCTGCTGCAGTGTGGCAAACGCCAGTGACTCGGGCGAGCTCAGAGCTTCACCTTCGCAGACCACGGCCGCGTGCACCAGCGGCTCATTGGTGCCCTCGCGGCGCTCACCTGGAAAAAGACGTGAAAGTAAATGCCTGGCATTGTTACCACTGACAGATCAACCTGGGTCTGGCGTCAACAGCACCCTCTTACCCACTGATGGGTGCAACGGCTGGGTGGGGGCAGGGGTGTGTTGATGAATTTATATTCCTGCCCCTTGCTGGAGGTAATGTTCTCATGAACGGGTTTTGTCAGCCGGCTATTTGACTGCAGGAGCATCACAGCCTAGTCAAATCCGGCCCTGACTGAACCCCTCCTCCCCCCTTGAAAACAGCACTGAGGCCGGTGGGTGGTGTACCTGCAGCAGTGGTGGGGTGGGGTGGGGGGGTGTGTATGAGCGTGGGTGAATTTCTCTGCCCCCTCACTCCCCGGGGTTGACTGCCCTGATTGGTAAGGCCCGCAGAGACTGCTGACCATTACGTCTCAGCCGCACAGCAGGGAGAGGGGTAAACCAGCAGGGACCAGGGCACCCCGCTAGCCCCCCAACTTCCCCTACCCCCCAACAGGGGCAATGGAGGATGATGGTCAATACCTCCCCCAATCACGGTGGGCAGGGAGGGTTTTCTGGTGAGCTAGAGGGCTCAGTGAGGGAGGGGTGTCGGGAGAGTACGTTGGAGAGTGTGTTTAAAGAATGTGCAGTTACCTACGAAGGTAGCAGGGGGTGTGGGAGGGATGGTACTGTCTTCTGGATGGTGGCTCCCCCCCTCCAAAAGGACACCCTGCAAAGATAGGACCACACGCAACCCCCACCCCCGCCACCTGTCCCTTTCCTGTCCTATTACCTCTGAAGTGCCCTGTATCCTGGCAAGGGCAGGATGATACAGGAAAGTGACCCTTAATCATCAGATTATGTACAGTGTTCAGGATGCTGGGTTCAGTGTCCCACTCACCCTCTGTGTTATGGAGGTGAGTCATAGAGCTCTACAGCACAGAAACAGACCCTTCGGTCCAACTCATCCATGCTGACCAGATATCCTACATTAATCTGCTCCCATTTGCCGGCATTTGCCCCATATCCCTCTAAACCCTTTCTATTCATGTACACATCCAGATGCCTTTTAAATGTAATTGTACCAGCCTCCATCACTTCCTCTGGCAGCTTGTTCCATATACGCACCACCCTCTGCGTGCAAAAGTTGCCCCTTAGGACGCTTTTATATCTTTTCCCTCTCACCATAAACCTATGCCCTCTAGTTTTGGACTCCCCATATCCTGGGAGAAAGACCTTGGCTATTCACCCTATCCATTGCCCCTCATGATTTTATAAACCTCTATAAGGTCACCCCTCAGCCTCTGACGCTCCAGGGAAAATAGCCTCAGCCCATTCAGCCTCTCCCTATAGCTCAAACACTCCAATCCCAGCAACATCCTTGTAAATTTTTTCTGGGTGGATGAGAGGTGCAGGGGGTAGGTATGTGGGCTGGGCACCTACACTATTTGACAGGCCTCTCCCTGCCCAGAAACCACATCCAGCCTGGGACACCAAACAGCCAGCGGGCAGGGCTACCCCCTGAGGCTGTGGAGCAGGCTGGAGAGAGGCATTCAGGAGCACATTGACGTTTTGTCGAATCAGTAAGGAGTGGCTGTTTCAGATGGCAGAAAGCCTGGTGACAATGACTGAAGTTGGTGGGTGAGACCACCAGAAACAACGCTGGGGGAGGGGTGCTGTGGAAAAACAAGATAATATTCACAGCGATTGCTGTCACTGCTAGAGGTAACGGTGCAGCCAACTTCAACTCAAACTCTCAGAATCAACATCAACATTTATAGGGAAAGGGCAGGGACTAATGGACAGGGCAGGGGCTAATGGACAGGGCAGGGGCTAATGGTCAGGGCAGGGACTAATGGACAGGGCAGGGGCTAATGGACAGGGCAGGGGCTAATGGTCAGGGCAGGGACTAATGGACAGGGCATGGGCTAATGGTCAGGATAGGGGCTAATGGTCAGGGCAGGGACTAATGGTCAGGGCAGGGGCTAATGGTCAGAGTAGGGACTAGTGGACAGGGCAGGGACTAATGGACAGGGCAGGGGCTAATGGTCAGGGCCGGGACTAATGGTCAGGGCAGGAGCTAATGGTCAGCGCAGGGGCTAATGGTCAGGGCAGGGACTAATAGTCAGGGCAGGAGCTAATGGTCAGGGCAGGGACTAATGGTCAGGGCAGGGGCTAATGGT